ATTCTCCCAGACCACTACACCACTGCCAGCTCAGAGAGCCCCGGGAGAAAATTTTATAACAATGGAAATGTGTTCATGTTAACAATGGGGATTTTCATCCCAGCTGATATTTTTTTGGAGTTACATTCAAACTTACCCTGGGAACACAGTTTGTTTAGGAAAGGAGGAAACTTTTATTCATTCCCAGATCACTCCCAGGCTCCATACCAGCAGCAGGAGAGGTGTTGCCCAGTAACCAGCCCCACACACCTTCCAGCAAGCCACAGGTCCCAGGTGTGAACTGATTGCACATCTTCCTATTATACAGTGGCTCTTAACCAAAAGTGCACCTATAATTACTTATAAAGCTCTTTAAAACTACAAGGTTGAAATTCCAATCCAAAGCAACCAAATCAGAGTCTTTGAGGGTGAATCCTAAACATCTCTGTGTTTTAATAGTCCCCACTCCTACCCCAAGATGATTTCTGTTCACTTAGTCAAGCACCCTCTCTGCAATAAATCTTTGAACTCATAGACATCTTTGATCCATTGATCCTATTGCTTTTTCAATATTTACCACTCCTTCATGTCCTGGTATCCAGATTCCCATGGTCCCTAATGATAACTGGGTACAAAAGGTCAATCACTCTCCACTGTTATACTCCCCTGTTAAAGTCCCCTAACACTGTTAAACTCACTGTCACAACTACTCCATGGGAAGATCAGATCTCCTGAACATTCCTAGGGAACAATACGTGACCAACCATATTGATTTTAATTTTAAATGTATGGCCACAAATCACAGCTGGATTCATAGCACAGCTCAAAAATCTCATTATGTCTTCAGAGTTTTGGTCTCCCACATTACACCTTTCACTGTCTCCCCCCAAATCCTATTCCCCTGCCCTCCTCACCAGGTCATCTTGGCTGATGATCTGGTCTCACCACTCACTGGGAACATATGAGCCTCAGAGAGGATTCCTCACTACTTACCTCCAAATCTACAAAACCACCCAAATCTGCTTCTATACTTTTTGCCTTCCTTCCACTTGTTCTGGACAAAGAGTCCCTGCTCCTATCAAAGGCCAACCCTCCACTTTGCTCTGGACCTCT